AATCAAATGGTCGTGGATTCGTGCCTGGAGTGGTGCACCATACGGGGTTGGGTACGGCTGTCTGAAGGTGGTTAACGAGCCAGAAATGGCCGCTCTGATCGCCCTTGTCTTGGCAGGCAATAATATCTGCCTAGACTGCCAGCCGAGAATAAACCTCAAGGTAGAGCGAGACGAACGAGTTCCGTTAGCGATCGGTGAACATTCATCAACAAGTATCTGGGAAGTTGAAGTATTTTGATTTTAAAGTCCACTGATTCATTTATTTTTCAAACACAATCTATGGTTTCATCTGGTCTGCTTTCAGAAAGTTTACTTATCTAACTTTTTGGCTACTATTGAGTTCCTACACCCGCAATGCCCCATAGCCTGCCTTCTTCGACTCCGTTACCACCGACTCATAGCTGGACACGTAACTTATTGTCAGCATACAAATGTGAACTTGCTGCGCTCATACATGGAACACGACTTTCCCCTTAACGAATCCACACGTCATCTCATATCCTTGATTTTATGCCGATACTGACGAAAACAAATTCAGTGTGCCTGTTGACCACTGGTGTAGACTTCTGATTTCGAGCGGCTTCAGCCTTCGAAGCGTGCGGGCAAAACGGGCCTTCTAGTAGGTAGGGTGTAGCTTCTAAGCAAATGTTTTTACTTGGAACACTCGTCAGACCGATTCCTAGGTTGTAAGTAAAAGGCACAATAATGGGGGCTTTGTGCACAGAACCCCCAGTTGCTGTCTCAGGCAGCAGTGCCCCCTGCTACCGTTGCCTGCGTCCGGTCATACCTGAGACAGTGGCAGCAGCTGCTTTTATATGACAGTGGAGCAAGTTCAAGCGGTGTTCACTCGATGTGCTACATTGCCCGAGGGAATGTGGTGTATAGTGGCCCACGCTGAGGGTTGGCGAGTTCAAGTGGCCTTTGGTCAACCGTGGCTATTTGGACACGCGCAGATGCGCGAGTAGAATTCGGTAAGTGTCTGTAGGTCAGCGAGTAGGAAACAGCTGCCTGCGAAGTTGCATGACAGTGGGCATTGAACGGGAATCATTATTAGTTGTCCGCCACAAGGGGAAGGTGTCAGGCAGGGTTCCGCGTTCGCTAAATGTTTCGGACCAATGCAATTCACCACCGAAGCAGGGTCAGTGTTAAAGAGAGAAACCGATAGGTACAGAAAACGAAGGCATTTTAATCATCGGATTCATGGTTTCATTCGTCTGAGCTTTCTAACTGTTACTGGAGTCCATCGTCAAAGATAAAAGCGTCAAAG